ATATAGTTTATATAAATATAATACATATGTGTTTTTCATTTTTTTACGTAATATATATATATATATATATTTATAAAATGTAAAAAAAAAAAATATAGGTATGCATTTAGATTTACTAATATATACTATTTAAATTACAATAAAAAATGATTATGCATCAATATTTTATCTTTTTCACTAATTTGCTTGTAAATAATTATTATTCTTTTTAAGTGTGTAAAATGTGTTCTAGAGGTATTACAGTGTCATATAGATATTCATGATGCTTAATACACTGTCCATTGTTTGTTTTTAACATAAACAATACATTATAATACTTGCTGATATCTTTAAAGAATACAATCTTTATGTGTTGGTAATGTATGTGTTGGTATGTCCTGTGTTTAAAAGTCATTATAATGCTTGAAAGTAGTAACCATGAATAATATATGCATGAGTATAAAGCATGAATGCATTTACTGTATAATACTTTAAGAATGCATCATGTGCAGATTAATATTACTATTCCATACTTTAGAAGAGCATGTTAGTTCATTACTCTATATATACTGTATCTATATTACTGTATCTATATTTTATGTTTTTTTCTTTACTTTCTCTCTTGGTTTTTCTCTCTTCCATTTTTGATGCTTCATCTTACCTTCTATCTACGATGGTGTTGGGGAAGATGCGGAGATACTGGTACATCTCAACACTGTCATTGATCTTTAAGATGCCTTCCTCTCTGTATTTGAAAAGTGCCAATGCATATCGGAATATCACCTGTGAAACAGATGAATGAGGGATTTGGTCCTTTGTTATTTCCTCGTAGTTGGCCTGTAGGCTTGTAATGTTTGTGAAAATGTTGGGAAATTTAGGTTTTTTTACACAAATGGATCAGGCTCAATATGAGGGTAATCATATTACAAACAAAACTGTTACAAACAAATATTTAGTGGAGAATCCAAAAAAACTTCAAACTATTAGAGAACCAGGTATTGATCTATACAACATTTCCCAGAATCCTTTATGGTACCTTTATGCCTTCATACAGGAAGGCGTCCCATACTTTAAACAGTATGCGTGTAGGCAGACTCTCAACAAACAACACCAGAAACCATTCAACAGTGATGAGGGACACATCTACTTTTAGCGCTTCCAGATGGGCCTTGAGTCGAGGCAGCTTCTCAGACATGAGGTCCTTTAGTACACACTGGTCGGCCTGGAGAGATTGAAAGAAGAAAATATTGAAAAATATTTCAGAATATTACTGTTTTTGTATTCAATACTTGCTTCCAAACATTTGAAAACAGTAGTGTATAAAAGTCTGAGACCACACTGAAAATCTGTTTTAGGATTTAGGATTAATGCAGTTCTCACCTGACAGCCCACCAGGTCTTTAGTGTAGTAATTGTGAGGCATGATATAGTCCACAATCACTACCAAGCACCAGAAGGCATCTTCCTCATCCTGTAGTACCAGCAGAGCAATGGCTGCCAGTCTGCACACAGTGGCATCGTTGGTGTTATTTAGCTTTCTTTTTGCATATAGATATTGTGGCTTTAACAGTAAACCTACACCTCACTCTATTTAGCCTGTAAGGTACCCTCCATCAGAAAGTTGTTGATCAGCAAATGACCACCAGATGTCAGTACATTACATGTTATGCTCCATTTAAGGTCAGCTTGAAATTGGTATTAAAATAGTTTGTTGCCAGTGTTCAGCATGGCAGTCAGATGAGGCAAATATCATTTTGCATGTAGACTGAAGGTAAAATATGAAATTTCTGTTTAATGATTGCTACAGTTTGGTAATCAGGAAGCGGTGGATTCAATTATGATGCATTAAATGTAAAAGTATTTTGCCATATTTAGCAATAATTATTTTGTCTTTTGTTACCTCATGCATTATATATATAAAAATTTACATTTAGATTTAACTTTAGTTAATAGATTTCACTTAAATAGATTTAACTTATTTATATTTAATATTTAGACAAATTATACATTTAATATAAATATATGAATATAAATATGATATTTTTTATTATATGAGATTTCAATTTTACTTAATAAGTGAAATAAATTACATCATGTTTTAGGTAGGCGTGGTTAACTCTTAACTTTTATAAAGAATATCTCTTTGGTTTTGAGACTTTAGTGTTTGCAACTTTACAGATCTTCTTTATGCACCAAGAGCTTGTAACACTCCAAAGAGAAAGGAAAAATTGAAATCATATGACCCCTTTAAAATAGTTTGTTGCCAGTGTTCAGCATGGCACTCAGATGAGGCAAATATCACTTTGCATGTAGACTGAAGGTAAAATATGAAATTTCTGTTTAATGATTGCTACAGTTTGGTAATCAGGAAGGGGTGGATTCAATTATGATGCATTAAATGTAAAAGTATTTTGCCATATTTAGCAATAATTATTTTGTCTTTTGTTACCTCATGCATTATATATATAAAAATTTACATTTAGATTTAACTTTAGTTAATAGATTTAACTTAAATAGATTTAAATAGATTTAACTTATTTATATTTAATATTTAGACAAATTATACATTTAATATAAATATATGAATATAAATATGATATTTTTTATTATATGAGATTTCAATTTTACTTAATAAGTGAAATAAATTACATCATAATTTTGATATTATATAATTATATGATAAATTATAAGAAATAAGAGGCTTACATCTTACAAAAAAAAGTTTGTTAGTGTACAAAAGTCTGAGACCACACTAACAAGCTGGGATTGAGAATCAAATTTGAACCTGACAATAAACAGCAAGTTTTAATAAAGTATATAATAAATACTGACTGACTGACCTATTTAAAAATTCATATTTTAAATAATATTTTAAATAATATTTAAACTTTAACTTTGAAATAAATTATGTTATACATTTGATACATTTTATATTTAAAAATAAATGTATTAAATAAAGACATTTTTATAAAGTGGTCATGTAAGTAAATCTGGCAAAATTTGACACTTCTTATTTTTTGTAACATGCGTTACACTCAATACCCCATAACTTTTTTGTACACTCAATACTCCATTATATTTTAAAACAAAAGTGGCATATTTAGCCAAAAAGCTCTTGTGATAGGCCATTACTTATACTACTCACATTAGGTCTATAATCACTTCTAATCAAAGCCAATTCTCTCTCTTTTTTTGTCTATGATGGCTAATTACCTGTTGAGTCCCTGGACGTAGCCGATGGTGGGGTTTTGCCATGAGAATGCCTGCAGAACTCTCTCCAGCTTATGAATCAAGGGGCTTGAAGGAGGGGAAAAGTATTGATTGGAGGTCAGCGTACGATCCAGGTCCAGCTGGATCTGTCTGGGCACCAGGTGAGGTGAGGTTCTGCTCTTCTCGCACAGCTCCTGATAGCGGTCAGGATGATGCTCTTTTAGAGACTTGGTCCTAGTCTGTATCATAAAACGCCAAGCCCTCGCACGGTACTCGCGCGGTAAGCCCATCCGGAGTAGATTCTTCAGTTCTGTGGATGAAGACAGTTCTCCTTCAGGGCGTCCAAACAGGAGCTGAGCGCAACGAGCCAACAATGGCCCATCACATTCCTCCTGGTTCAGCAGGTTTTGGGATCGGATCTCCAGGGCCTGGATCTTAGCAAGCAGCTTCAGGTCCTCAACTTTGTAGTCCATTGCAATCTTAAATCCATATTCATCGTAATCCCTGTGGAATGTCGGGAACTGTGAGTTCCAACATAAATAGAACTTGAACAAACATTTATATGTGAAAAGACTCACATAAAATTAAGACTCATTCACACCAAGAACGATAACCGTTATGATAACTGTAACGATAATGATAAAGATAGTTTTAAAATTTGTTCTAAATGTAAAAGAATAGCAGAGTCCACACCACAACAATAATGGCAGAATAATTATATTGTTGGAATAACTTTTAAAATGATTTTTTACAGCTGATGAGCAATGAAAACACTGATAGCCAGTCATAATTTAAAGTAGCAGATGACAAAACTGCAGCACATACTTATAATAAACAGAACAATATTGTGCATTTGAGTGGATGTCAATATAGTTATCATCATCTTGGTGTGAAAAGACCTTTACTCTAGGCTCTCTAATAAATGTTATTTCATTGAAGCTCTATATGCTTTTTTTTAGCAGGAGACTTATCTAAGCAACTAAGACATTCTTTTATAAATCTCAAGGATGTCTGCTATGAACTTTAGCCATCCATTTCCATCCAAAAATAAAGTCTGGAATGATTTACACTTGCGCAAGGATGAATGTGATTTGAGAGCTCCACAGATGAAAAGAACAGGGTGAATAAACGATGACAGAATTTGCATTTGGGGTGAACTGATGGGACTGTGTTTACCTTACTGAGTTTAGTTTGATAGCAGTGCTCAGGTCTGCCCGAACTGCATCCTTAACCACCTTCTTGACTGCTTCCCCCTGCTCCGGATTCAATTCCTTACTCTCCTGGAGTTTCTGGAGGATTCCCAGGTATCTGCTTTCCATCTGACTGCTATTGGCCTCCAGAACAGCACACTGGCACACACACACACAGTAACAACACTAAACATTCAAGCACTTCTTGATGTTTACTATCTCAGATTACCATCGCAAATGGCTCGGACCAATTTTAAAGCGTTTATATCACAAAAATGTAATTTCCCTTGATCTTTTGATATGGAAGTGAACATACTCTAACTTTCAAAACTCAAATCTCTCAGTTCATAAAGAGCCATTTAGTGTTTAGATTAGCCAATCAGTACAAAGGGTAAAGACAGTAGCAAAAAATGTGTCTGTTCTTGGTGCAAGAAACCTTGACTGAAAAATTATTTACCTTTACTATCAGACTTTGCTCCCGTTCGGAACTTTTTCTCCAAAGCGTCGTTAGATGGTAGATCTCAGAGTTTAGGTACTGGTTCTGAGTTTTATATGCCTTCAAATCATCCTGAAATAATGAACATTTAAATTATAATGTGTCTGTTCTTGGTGCAAGAAACCTTGACTGAAAAATTATTTACCTTTACTATCAGACTTTGCTCCCGTTCTGAACTTTTTCTCCAAAGCGTCGTTAGATGGTAGATCTCAGAGTTTAGGTACTGGTTCTGAGTTTTATATGCCTTCAAATCATCCTGAAATAATGATTAGGTTATATCCACTACCATTCAGAAGTTTGGGGTTGGTAAGTTTTTTGTATGCATCTCTTATGCTCACCAAGGCTGCATTTATATGATCAAAAAATTCAGTAAAAACAGTAATACTATGAACTACTATTACAATTTAAAATAACTGTTTTCTATTTTAATATATTTTAAAATGTCATTTATTCCTGTGATGGCAAAACTGAATTTTCAGTTTATTATATAGAAAAGCTGTACTGTTGTACCATATCAATATTTTAGTGGAAACATTTTTTTTTCAGGATTCTTTGCTGATTAGAAAATTCAAAAGCTTTTATCTGAAATAGAAATATATTTTTACATTGTAAATGTTTTTTACTGTCACTTTTGATCAATGCATCCATATATATTTATATTATATAGTAAAACAATATTTTGATGTAAAAATGCTTTATTTTCTCACTTTCAAATTCTCATTCTCGATTGTTAGCTGTTTTAAGGCCTCTGACCGCAGCCCATTGGAGCACTGCTTGTCTTCTCCACAGACTGCTAACTTCTCAGACAGCTTCAGTATCACTTCCTGTTTGGCCTGATTCTTTTGTATCAGGAGCTGGACACTCTCCTGGAGTTCAGCGATATGGGCGTCCCTCTGGTTCAGATCCCTCCGTAGGTTCTCGTTCTCTTGCTGCAGGGACTCCAGATGGTCTCGCAGTTCGGCCACACGCCGCTCACCGTGTCTGAGGAGCTCCAAGCGCTCCTGTTCCCCCTCCGCGGCTAGAAACTGAGCACAGGTGCGTTTCTCCAGCTGAGCAGCTTCCAGCACCTTATGTAACAGCGAAACCAACTCCTGACAACACATACATATGCGGGTTTCAGTTGATTAATCTTTCTGTATATGAGAAGCTGAAGTGGTGATTAACATCCTCACTTTACCTTCTGCGCTTTGACCTCTTCAGCCAGTTTTTCACGTTGAAGTCGAGATGTGTCCTTGAGCTCCAGCGGTTTGGACTTTTCTTTGCTATTGTTTCTGTTTGGTGAAATGGTGGAGAGATCATGCTCAGACCTGGCATTAGCAGGGGATTCTGGGCTTTGAGAAGAACCGGGTGTGGGAACCGCTAAAGCTAAGGAGGACAGTGGCCATGAGCACTTAAATTTGAAACAATTGTTTATTATTTTTCTAGTGACAAAGTTGTGGTTCTTACTGGATGCCTTAGATGAGGATGTTTTTTGGGTGTCAGTTGGGTCGCCAATATGGAAAACACTTTGTCTAATTTCCTGTGAGTGCCGGTTACGGAAACTGTGCATTGTGTTCCTGTATATCAAACACAGAGAAACCACTGAAGAAATGACTCACAATAACAACTACATTTTCGGAAGAAAAAGGCTAAATGCAAAACTTGTCAAATGATGCTAAGCGTGTCGTGGATGGTTGCTAGGGTGTTCTGGGTGGTTGCTTAGTGGCTTAAATTAACAGAGGCCACTGTAGTCTCTAGACATGGCTTGGTCCCTCTAATTTAAGTCTGTAGGGTTTAATTGGGCATCTAATTATTGACCATATTTACCATCAGGTGAAAGTCTAATCACTTAAGCCTATAAAGCCTACTGGATCATATCTGATTTCTAAGGCCTCTAAATTATTAACACGATCAAACTTTGCTGCAAAACCTGTTGTAAACAATCTACTACATTCTTTCTGTCATCTGATTGATGTCTTCTAGTATAATTCTAAAAACAACCCCCTTCAGGTCGTGGTTCACATGTCTTTTTGCTGTGAAATCTATTGATTTTTTATAAAAGTAAGCATAAGAACAAATGAAGCAACTCAGGTTTACTTGATTGTCCATATATCACTTTTTAGAAGAATAATGCTAAAATGTGAGTATCAAATATGGTACAGGTTTTTGAGGAACATTTATTAACGTTCATCTCTCAATCATCATTGTACTGAATTGCATTGTACTACAGAGCTTTGACCACAAAACTAAGCATTTAAATATAATCTTACTAAGAAATATTAGTAAGATTGGAAGATATAGATTGACAATTGATATTTATATGTATTTATATGCTTATATAATATTTATATGCTTTTTTAAGATTTTATCTAAAGGTTCAATAAACTGTTATATTTAAAAAACAATCTGACTATTTTCATGTCAAGCTTTACAGTGGGTATAGAAAAAGAATCACCCCCTTTAAAACAATCACAACAAGTCAGGAGATGGATACAAAATTTTTTTCAAAGGCTTTATCAATACCTAGAAACACAGTGAAGTCTATTATTGAGAAGTGGAAGGTATTTGGTACAACACAGACTCTCCCTGGATCAGAATGTCGCTCCAAACTGGATGAAAGAGCAGGAGGAAACTGGTCAAAGAGGCTACTAAGATCAAGAGGCCTACAGCAACTCTGAAGCAGTTGCAGGTATTTATGACGAAGAGTGGTCATTGTGTGCATGTGTCAAAAATATCACAAATTCTTCACAAATGTGGCTTGTATGGGAGGGTTGCAAGAAAAAAGCCACTCCTCAAGAAAGGCCACATGCAGTCATGACTGCGCTTTGCCAAAACGCACCTTGAAGATTCTGAGGCAGATGAGACTAAAATTGAATTATTTGGCCTCAACACCAAACGATATTTCTGGCGGAAATCTAATACAGCTCACCATCCAAATAACAGCATTACTACAGTAAAGCATGGAGGTGGTAATATCCTGTTATAGCTCAGCTGGTGCAAGACAAGTGCTGAAGTTTAAAACTTATGATTGGTTTGGTTTGGAGTAATATCATTAGCGATGCTTGCCTAAGAATTTATTCTTTTTTTTAACAGGCTCATTTGTATGTTTATGTAATCAGTTTAATAATTTTTGGCATTGCAGATGATGATGAAATAGTTTTAGTCATTATGGGTTTTATTTAGAAATGGAAGCAACTTCCCATTTTCTCACTGAGACAAATGTGAAAACTAATATGACTTCCTAATCATATATTAGATAGACTATATGGTACAATGGCCACATTATTCAGCGAACCAAACAAGCCCATATTTCTTGGTTTATTTGTAAAATAAGTATTGCCTTTTATTATAACAATAATAACAAAATACTTTTTTCACTTACTATGTTTAACTCAATGTATGTGTGTGTGTGTGTGCGTGTGTAAATCTCATTACTGTTTTCTCTTATCTGATGTTGTCTAGTATGAGAAGAACCCCTCATAACACAGCTTGTTCACTCTCGTATATAAAATCCCAGGAAGTGGCGTATATGCTTGTGAGTCTAACTTCCCTAAAATAATAATTCTAGAGAAATACAAAACTTACAACACAGCTTTTTTGGAAGGCACTGACGCAGATTGCCAGCGCGAACCATTTTTCATTTGACCCTAGAAATATCCCTTGACACCAGTATCCATTCTGTGAGAACAGATTGAATAAACAAAAGCACATGTACTCACTGTAGCTCAATTAGTGGATGTTTGATTGACATATTGAGAGGGCTGTTTAATCCTGGTGCAGGCAGACTGGCAGCTTCTTCACCTACCAGGCCAGAAGGCGTCTTCACCATGGGCAAGAAGTCAGCTGTGTAAGAGAAGGCAGAAAGTATGTTTAAACCCACTGCGTTAAATACATCCGATAGGCCAGAATAACAAGATGCTTTCAGATAATGAGACTTGCTTGTTTCTTATTTGTTTGGTAAGAAAACATTCGTAAACAACGTTTTGTTATGCTGAGATCACAGTAAATTTTATGTTTTTCAAAGAAATCTCTTATGTTTGCCAGGGCTGCGTTTATTTGATAAAAAATATAGTAAAACTGTAATATTGAGAATTTAAAATAACTCTTTGCTATATAATCATATATTTTAAAATGTAATTTATTCCTGTGATATCAACTGATTTGTTAAATCAAATGAAAAATTGTGTGTTTGATTGGTCCAGACGCTACATGGCGAAGCTGAATTTTCAGCTTTTCAGAAATCATTCTAATATGCAAAAAATGTGCTGCTCAAGAAACATTTCTGTTTATTATCAATGTTGAAAACAGTTGTGCTGATAAATATTTTTGTGAAGACTGTGATATATTTTTTCAGGATTCTTTGATGAATAAAATAAATGGATGAATATAAAGCACTTAAAAAAAAAATAGAATCAGTGTAGTAATTTTTTATACATTTAATGCATCCTTGCAAATTAAAATTATTCATTTCTTAATTTCTTCAAAAAGAGAAATAATCTTACTGACCCCAAACTTCTGAATGGTAGAGTAAGACAGAAACAATAATAATGCATGGACTCTTCCGTAGATACTGAGAAATTATCTGGGAAAAATATCCAAGTAGTACAATGTTATTTTGTATTCTATATTTGTATTTCTTGCTCTACCTATTTCTTTTCAAATGACAGAACCACACAATGTTATTTATCACAGGGTGAGGTACATGCCTCTGCATGCCTGAAATTCCTAATAATTACAAGTGCTGTTTAAATGACCCATATGCTAACCACGAGCTAGCACTGAGTAAAACAAACAAATATCCATACTGTCTCTGAGTTCTTTTTAGCTTATATTTGTCTGGTGGTGCAATTATCCAGATTTCTAGAGATTCAGCTGCTCAGACATTCACTTCCTCATTTTCTGCATTTGACTCTCATCCAAGAGCTGTTTCTTAACGCCTGTACCAGAGCTTGCGGTTGGAAGCAGGTGTCTGTGAATGTAAGTAATGAATGTGCTTTTAGCACGAGAAGCCCAATCCTACTTGGATTCCTGGAAATGATGCATTTATGCATTGAATATTATGCATTGAGTCAGGGAGCAACTTGCAATTAACTAATTAATTTAAGTTATCTGCATATAGCAGATATACACTAGATAGAAAGCAATTAGTATCAAAGTACTGCTGCCACATTTCCACTGTAATTGCCAAACGTTTTGGGTGCCTCAAAAATGAGTTTAAATTACATTCCAGACTTCATCAACCATATAACGTTTTTTTTTAGTGACCAGAATTTCTTTTTACTTTTTTACTTTTACTTTTAATGTAATTTTACAATTAAGCATGTATGTAATGTAATTTTACAATTAAGAGCTCTTTTGGCCTTAAACATTTTCAAAAACGATTCGAGACAAATGTGCAGTTAATTCGTGGCACTTTTGCTGCAAGCCAGTTGTTATTTTTGTATTATTTATATACTATTATATTAATACTTTGAATTGAAATGAAAACTGAAAATCTAAAAATAAAAGTTAATTTTAGCTTTAATAATTTGGCAATTGTTATGTGCTTTTATCCTTTTCATTAGTTATATATATAATAACAGAGTGTTTATAATAACAACACCCTGACAAGCATTTTTAAAATGTATTTATTAATTTATTTTGCAAAAAAGTTAATTTGCATATGAAAAATATTGGGCAAGAGTTTGTCACAGGGGTTTTCCACAGCTCTATATTTTTGTAACTCAATATATACTATTGTTTCTCGTAAAACCTCATAATACGCTCTATGTATGTTTCTATATTTGTTTCAAATTGCCTATATGAATTACTTGTCCGTGAAGCATTATATAATGTTTGTTAAATAGAATGGTTAGAGATGAGATGTAGTGGATAATGGCTTTCTGCTTATGTTAAGTACACAAGGGAAATGAGCGCTATGCAGCACTGATACAGGCTGCAACCCAGAGTAAAGTAACATAACTGTCCTGCAACAGAGTGAAAAAGAAAAGATGGATATCGACATCCATCCCACCCATTTTCCAGAATTTCTAAACGTTTACTTGAAGTTTGCAGATGATTACCAGTCCGGAGTCCGGACATTTCCTGTCTACACACCCTCCTGCTAAGACAGATAACAGAATGAGGGTAGACAATACATGCACAAACTAGCTGGAGTCCTGATGATCTATCTACAAACAAAATATCAGACTAAGCTTTTGCAACCTCCTCCTGTGGCTACAATGGATGACTAAACTATAACAATGTGGCCGAGTAACGTGGGATCTGATTCGTCAATCTCAGCAGCTTCCTTTCAGCTAATCTGGTGCTTTCCTCCCTGTATCCTTGGCTCTGCTTCCTGTCTCTGCCCTGTGCTCAGCCTATGCTTTAGTAACATTGTTTAGTAACAATGGCCTCTATTTTGGGACATTATTATTTTATTTGAAACACCAGATGTAGGTGACCAGTTTTGGGTGTAACGTGGGTATTGAGAAGAATTTATAAAAGTCAGTTGTTATTTCAGTTTAAAAGAGAAAAAAAGAAAAACTGGTAAGTGTTTATACATTATGGTAGTATTTGCTGTATTGCCTTCAATTTATGCCCGTTTAGATAATAAAATTGTATTACAGTAGTTTTTCATGAGAATCACCTTTGAGGATGATGAGATTTACAAAACACTACAAAGTTAAATGCACAGACTCTTTCTGATAATAAAAATTTAGATACAAATATGCTTAATTGTCTGAAAATATCACAACGCAAAAAACAAAACAAAACTTAATAGTCCTAAAACATATTTTAGTATTCTATACGTACAATTATAGTATTTATTATTTATTAATTTTTCAGATTTCATTTTCATTTTAGTTTAAGTTTTAGTAATTGTTAAGTGCTTTTGACCTTTTTATTAGTTTTTAATTTTTATTTATTTTTAATAATTTTAACAAGGCAACATTTCTTATTTAAGTTTTATCTTAATAGTTTGAAGGTGAAGTAATTCTCCTGGCAATAGAAACAGTCAGTTAAAACATTATTTTGGTGCACAGATTTCAAGCATTTTGAAATAATCTTCAAGATCTGACTGGGTCTGTTGATCTTTCACTTTCTATTAACTTAGTATCACATGACTGGCCAAACAACTGAACTTTACTTTGAAAAATGAAGTGCATTCTCCCTCAGATCATATTTCATAAACAGTGTAATTTCCATAATGCAGTAAATGCCTTTCAGCCTCTTACCACGGCAGTTGTTTGCTGATGGGGTGCTTTCCAATTTGTGGTTGTCTGGTCTGGGTATGGAGAGATGTTCAGCATGCTGCTCCCTGTATAACGTACGTTTCAACTGCAGCTGCTGCAACCAGTACATTTGGGCATCCCTGTTAGCTGCCTAAAAACAAAATCATGTTTGAAGACTGTTGAGAGGAAAGTGCTGTTGTCTTACTCAAGATGCTTGCCTGTTATTCCTCCATACTTAAACCTAATGCCTGTGTTTCTCTCTGTGTGTAACAGTCAAAAGGGAGACTGTGGGGGAGAGACTCGAGGGTGACCATATTTTAAGAATTAAGAAAAATCCATATTGACCACTGATCAGAACTTTATACTTTATTGAAAGGCCAGCATTATTTTAAAGGCCAATATAAAGTGCAGTCATGTGATCACTGTTCTATTTTAAAGGCTGTCTGACCCCACTGATAACAACAAGCTTTTTGTAGAAAGAAAGAAAGAAAGAAACAAACAAAGAAACAAAGAATAAGGCTTTATATTCCTCCACCCATTTATATCCTAGAAGCTTGTTTTTGAAAAGCAAATTACCTTTAGAATCTCTAATCTTAAATCAGGAATTGTCATAAAAATCATAAAACTTGCTTTTACTTGTTTTTTTTTTTGTTTTTTTTTTCTGGACATTTCCAGGTCATTATCCTAATACTATTTCATATTCAACACAAAGTCACACTGGCATTTATTCATTATTTTCACAAGGAAGCAATGAAGCACATATTCCTTCCATTTATCATAACTGTGGTGGAATAAATAAATCATTAAGTGTTTATGCATTATGACAGTATTTGATGTATTGCCTTCAATGTACAGTATGCTCATTTAAGTAATATAATTAAAATGAGTTTTTAATGAGAATCACCTTTCAGGATAATGAGGCTTACAAAAAACGACAAAGTTAAATGCACAAACACATTCTGATAATAAAAGTTAGGGACAAATCTGCTTAAATATCTTGAAAATATTGTCACAATTTGTTTAAGCCGTTTTTAAGTAATTGTTATGTGCTTTTGTCATTTTTATTAGTTTTTTTTGTAATTTTGTTTGTTTTTTTGTCATTTATAAGGTACTACAATTTTATATTTCAATTTATTTTCAGCTTTAGTTTAAAGTATGTATTATTATTTCAGTAAGTAACAAAGGCAGGATTTCTAATTTTCATTTAAGTTTGATCTAATGTTTAAATTTTATTTTATTTCACCTTTATTTCAGTTAAATAAAATGATTTGTAATAGTTTAGTTAACAATAACAGCACTGAAATACACTCAAGTTTCTTCATATAAAAAAATCATGTAAAATAATGTATAGTTGCCATGTTCATCTCAGTGATTTTGTCACAACTACTGTACTAACCTATCCCATGCAGCTCATCGCCCTTTGTTGCTTCACAATTCACAATTTATTAAAATCTGTTATTTCAAACCATGTGATAACATTACCTTGAGAATGACAGTGCGCTCTGGTGTCTGTATATGAAAGCTTCCCTCCTCTCCCTGCAGCGGATAACTGAACGTGGCACAAAACAGATCCACCTTACCCAGAGGACTGATATCTTGTGCCATGCGGTAGTAAAACAGCTGACAGCTCTTCTCCTCATAGACAAACCAGCGGGACTTCCAGGCTTTGAGAGGTCCACCCTGCTTGTTGAGGTAGCCACATAGTTTAGTGCTGGAAGGAGTGGGTGTCCCTCTGAGGGTGGCAGAGGGCCCATCAGGCAGAGCAGCATGCATCTGGGTGCCATTCTTATCCTGAGCCCCATCTGACCGACCTAAACTCTGTTGTTGGGTCTCCGCAGAGCTGACACACTCATCTGCAGGAGATACGTGCACATTCGCTGGAGGTGGAGTGCTGGAGCTTCCCTCATTCTCCATCTGGTTATCTCAACAAAGAGAATAAATAAAATCAGGCAAAATGTTCTTTAAGTAATCAAATGATGTCTATCAGCATAGCTATACCACGAGAATATGTTAATTTAGAGCTTCAGTAAAACATATGTATATAATACTCTATCTAAATGTTAAAAACCATCAATATTAGGGTACGATGGAGCAAGATAATGTGCATTTATTTTTAAATTGTAACATATTTACATATAAGTTTACTAGGATGCACCAGTGTTATGAAGGAATATAAATATAAACATTTGGTAATTTAGTTGTCATAACACAAAATATAACATTGTTCAAAGATATCCATCTTACCAAACTACTTATACATTCTTATTAATAATTTTCTTTTAAAATGTTCATTAATGTACAACAGTAAATCATCTGCTCTATTTATGACAGTATAGTCAAATAAGTGAATAATTAATCTAAAAAAGATTAATCTGAACAGTAAATTTATTTTATATACCCATATTCATTTATACGTTTAACTGTTATTATCATAATAGCAACAGTGTGAATTCAAACCCAATGATTTCCCACAATTAGTCTACAGGTTTCAATAATGTCTGAAATGTGTCTATAAGGTTTTAACGATATCTAAAAATGTCTGACATGTGCATCTAACTCATGGAATTATTGAATAATAGCCCCATGAATTACAAAATCTTTTTACTTTAAAATAAAAACAATATGTTTTACTCCTCAAATCTTAAAACAATAATATGCTCACAAATCCCTCATTACCAAATAGACACAAAAAATTTAATATTCAACATAATACAATGTCACAGATCACTGTTTTCCAGAGACACAAAATTAGAGCAATTAACCTTAAACTGTTTTGACTGACTAAATATTAAAACTTTTGATATTCAGCTATGGTCAAGGGATCCGAAAATAAGGTGGGGACGAAGAAGAAGAAGAAGAAGAAGAAGAAGAAGAAGAAGAAGAAGAAGAAGCAGCAGCAGCATGGAAAACCATACATTCTATGGCATACAAATTCCACTTTCAAAAACATTGCACAATATGCACAGTTATTACCTCATTTCAGTTTCCACATAGGAATATTTCGCAATTAAATATCACCAGCATTTATGTACAACACCAGGTAATTCTTTAAAATGAATTTTATTCATAATTAATTAACAAACATTATCTGATGCTTCCTATCAAGTAGAAAACCATATTAATTCAAAAAAGAAAAATCTAGTTTCAATAAAGTTGCATGACATTTTAAATTATTTAATGTACATTAATGGACTTTCAAGCATTATATAATATAATGCATGTTATGTCATTATGAAACAATAAATAAAATAGGTAAACTCTGTATCGTAGGCTAAGTCATTCTTGTTAGTCAACACATTGCCTAGTTACACGCGCGCATTGCTTACTGTTTGCTGTGATAAATAAACTGAAATAAAACACACTGTTTACAGCACAGTAGTTGATAATAATCCCATACCTTCTCTGTTGAAAAACTCAAAGGTTCTTTTGTGTGTGTCCAGGGTGCGTCTCATGGCACTTACAGATCTAAACAACTCGCACACAGCTGCACTTCCTTCATGAATGACTCAAATTTCTCTCACCGAGTCCCAGCATTAAGGAAAACAGGAAATATTACACATCAGGAATATGAAACATAGGGTTGCCTTTAGGGAGGCGTGTCATGAATGTCATCGCCTTCACACACACACTGTTTTGAATCACTGCTCGTTTCAAAAAGTGTGCATACCAAATATCTGTCGAATTTCAGAAACTTGCTAACTGTTTTTAATAGTCAAAACTATTTTGATTGAACTTATTTAAATTACATATGGGAGACTTATGAAAAACACACTGTTTACAGCACAGTAGTTGATAATAATCCCATACCTTCTCTGTTGAAAAACTCAAAGGTTCTTTTGTGTGTGTCCAGGGTGCGTCTCATGGCACTTACAGATCTAAACAACTCGCACACAGCTGCACTTCCTTCATGAATGACTCAAATTTCTCTCACCGAGTCCCAGCATTAAGGAAAACAGGAAATATTACACATCAGGAATATGAAACATAGGGTTGCCTTTAGGGAGGCGTGTCATGAATGTCATCGCCTTCACACACACTGTTTTGAATCACTGGTCGTTTCAAAAAGTGTGCATACCAAATATCTGTCGAATTTCAGAAACTTGCTAACTGGTTTTAATAGTCAAAACTATTTTGATTGAACTTATTTAAATTACATATGGGAGACTTATGAGGTTCCATTTATTCTAGAAGATCTATTATTTATTGAGCAGAATTAACAAACTGACCTAGGAAACCTGAAATTACACCTTTATTAATGACACATAATCGAAAAAACAAACAAACATGAAAAACAACAAAATGTGAACACATAACTTTACGAAGGTTTTGGAACCTGAAACTTTTGGAGCATGAATCGCAGACTTGATTTTTTCAACCTGTTCTTTGAAGAGACCAGTTCAGAAGAACCGATTCACAAAAACGAATCTGATGTCCCCGCTGTTTCCTCCACGACGGCAGAGAGCGCACTTGCGCGCATCATCACACACTGATATTTTTTCTACGATGTCAGAGTTCAGGCCGCACTGACAACAACGTGCGTGTGTTGTGAATCTGTATAACGCAAATTATAATTTACATCACATAAAAAGGACACAAAACACGACAAGGTAAGCACTGATCTTTGTGCCTTTATATAAAACAACTGGATTTGCAGACATGCGCTGTCTTGATTTGTGCCAGGTTGCTTTTCATTTTGTAATCATAAGAATTATTCTGATGTTGAAAGCATTTGTTTACTGGATAAGGAGGTAGATTGGTATTACTTTTTAGTACCACCATGTAAATACTATGATACATCAATATGGTAATCACTCAGTATCATGGACACGCTTGTCGAATTTGGACACACTTGACTACATTTGTTGCTGATAATCTATTAAACCTTTTGACGTATACATTTGTTTGCAAAACTAAATGATAAAACGTGGAGCGGATAAAGCAATAAATGTCCAGCAAACATAGCTTTTTAAAAAGCATCCTAGGATGCATGTTGTGCAGTTGAAGTTGACAGGATGCCTTTCCCACCTGCCATGTCTTATTTTAGTGATTGCAATCAAATCAATCAGTCCAACAAAAAGTGCAAAACTGTTTCAGATCTCATCTTGTTGCAAGCATCTACCCAAAATGAGAAACCTCAGTCTGCTGCAGCGCTTCAGCTGTGTGGATCTTTCTATCCCGGGATCCCCGCAGTGCTTGACCATCAGGAGCGAGACTGGAACCGTGCTGGTGGCCTCTGAGCTTGCCATCACAGAGTTTGACCCTCGGACCGAAGAGGTATTTCTCAAATAAATTAAAGTTTTCATAGGAGTTCCAATCCCAGAAAGGGTCATTTACGATAGTTTTGACCCCATTTTGGGGGATTGTCCCTGTTTTAAGATGTCTAGAACCAAATAGCTATATATTAATCTTGCTGTATAATGTGCTTTTATAGGTTTATAAAGAGGTTTCACTGACGGCAGATGACTATCTCCCAGAGGACGGTAGTGGGGTTGTGGTGGCCATACAAGATCTGCCAGATCAGGAGTCAGTGTGTGTGGCCACTGCCAGTGGTGATGTCATTCTCTACAACCTCAACACCAGTCAGGTGATCATTCATTTAATCTAAATGCTTTGATGATTGTATAAAATGATTGCTAAATGATTCTGTAAAATGTATGTGCTCTTGTTGTACTTTCTAATTACCAATATTAATTTCTCTCTCACAGTTGGAATGTGTTGGCAGTGTGGAAAGCGGCCTTACTGGCATGACGTGGAGCCCAGATCAAGAGCTGGTGACTCTGACCACAGGTCTATATCACTAGCAGTATTATTTTAATATCCTAGAGATAGTATTATAGTTTTTATTAACATTTTGATTTAGTTTTTATTTATATATTTTCCATTTTCATTTTAATTTTAGTTAAGGTTTTAGTACTTTTATGTGTTTTTTTATCAGTTTTATTAGTTTTTTTTTAAATTGTGTATATAGTTTTTTTTTTTTAATTTTTAATTATGTATTAATTATTTATTATTTTTTTTATTTTAGGACATTAAGTTAAACTAAATAAAAAAGAGAAATGTTGCTAAATTAAAAGTTACTAGCTAAAATATAATAAGTTTATTATTATTTCAGGTAACAGAAATGTTTTTTTTATGGCTTTAGTTTAAATTACCTATAATATGCCTGCTACTAAGCATATAACTGTATGACTCCGTTACATCTGTTCAGAAGTGCATATAATGCCATTTCACTCTTTCTCATTGTGTCCGCTTGTGTCTTATATGGCATGTCAGGTCAGGAGACCATTATCATGATGACCAAGGACTTTGAGCCGATAACTGAGGTTGCAATCAATCAGGATGACTTTGGCGAAGGTATAATTCATAAAAGTCTTCATTTACCTCTTAATATGTGTTCACTGCATTTGAGCAGATTTAGTGTCTGACTGGCGATTTTGTTTATGTGCCTCAGATAAGTTCATCACAGTTGGTTGGGGGAAGAAGGAGACTCAGTTTCATGGCTCTGAGGGCAAGCAGGCCGCCCAGCGGAAAGCAGCGGTAAGTTTTTGTTCTGTTTAGCATCGTTCTGCTTTAACAAATCAACCAACTGCTGCTTGCAAATATGATACAGACCTGAGGATCATCAGGAGATCATTGGCATTTCAACCTGGTTTGAATATGGTCCTTTTCTCACCTAGTTCTCCTCCACTGTCACAGGAAGTGCAGCCTGCCCTGCCATGGGACAACAGGAAGCCAAGAATCACTTGGCGTGGCGATGGGCAATTTTTTGCTGTCAGTGCTGTTTGTCCTCAGACTGGTGAGAATCTTCCTTTCTGCTATTGTTATTGCATGAAAAGGGTTGTGACAGTTAACATTATTCATCATTCCTGTAGCTCAAACAGTAGAACATGGCGCTAACAACACCAAGGTCATGTGTTCGATTGCCAAGGAGTGCATGAACTAATAAAGTGTGTATCTTGAATGCAATTGGATAAAAGTGTCTGCCAAATGCATTAATGTGAATGTAAAATATAGCAGCCTTTTTGTTTCAGGTGCTCGAAAGGTTCGAATCTGGAACCGAGAATGTGTCTTGCAGGCCACCAGCGAGGTTGTTAATGGTCTAGAACAGCCTCTCTGCTGGAAGTAAGATATTCTGAACATCGTTTAACTTAGGTTTTTTAGTTTTAAACTTTTATTTTCTTTTGACTTAATGCTGAGTCTGACAGATTTGATGTGAACTGACACAAATGGATTTTTCTTCTAGACCCTCTGGCAGCCTGATCGCTTCCACGCAGCGGCACCCTAACAAACACAGTGTGGTGTTTATGGAAAAGAACGGACTGTTGCATGGAGATTTTACTCTGCCTTTTGGAAAGGAACAGGTCAAGGTAAACCTCAGCTCCTCTGTATATGTTATTTTCAAAAAATCTGAAATATAAACCATGGTGCATGAATCGTTGAAGATTTATGTGTATTTCTCAGGTAAAGGAGCTGCTGTGGAACAGTGACTCTACTGTTCTGGCTGTTTGGATGGAGGACTTGAAGCCCAGGGAGAACGACCATCCCAACACATACAGTAAGATGCAATTCAGGGCGGTATGTTGAGTTTCTATGATATATTGATATATTTTTTATAAACAATATGGAATGAGTCAATACTGTTTAAATCGATATAAAGTAGTCTGATACGAGTGCATCAGTTATCCTAAACATGAGGCATGTTTAATATTAGGGGCTTTAAAGGGGTGATGATGACATGAGAAACCAAATTTGCCTTGATCTGGCATATAAGAAGTCTTTGTACCATTAAAACTTCCTTCAAGTTTCATAGCTTAAGTCGTCCTCCCCATTATAAACGAAGCATTTATTTAATCAAGCTCCAAATACGGCTCGTTGTGGATCCAGTCGTTTGCATATGACCGCCTCGTAGCGCAAGACAGCTATGCCTAATTTTGCACACAGGTGTTCAGTCGACGTGCAGCGAGTGGGTCTGAAGAAGTAGCTGTTTACAATAAGATTGCAATGCCACGCAGATGTGCCGTTCCTGGCTGTGGAAAAACAACATGTTTGAATACGCTGCCGAAGGATCCAGACATCAGGGAAAAATGGATTCAGTTTACAGTGTTAATTTACACGTGTGTTCACTACATTTCACGGATGACTGTTTTGAGAACAAATCGCAGTATGATGCTGGCCTAAGTACATGCATAGGCACTGATGTTAGCCAATCATAACAGTGGGCGGTTACACTGAACTCTTAAAGGGGAAAACCCCCCAAAACCGACTGTTTGAGTCAGAGGATGAGAAACGGAGTGCAAAAAGGTCATAAATCATTAAACTTTTAAAGTTTTTCGTCCAAAAAAACTATAGTAATATTATAATTGCACCTAAGGGAACATAATAAAACAAACCAAGAAACCCATGTCATGACTCATGACCCCTTTAAAATAACCTGTAAGATATAGTTAACACGTATAGTTTAAAGCAACTCTGATGCTCTTACAGACACATGAGATGTGGTGTTTTCCTCCATGCACAACTTAATTTTCACAGCTATATTCTCTGTCTGTAAATGTTAGAAAGTCATGGAAATACCACGAGTCATGGAAGTTAGTAGAGACATATCCCAACAGACTAAAGGCTGTAGTTCAACAAAATATTGACAAAATATAAGGGGGTGATCCTTTTCCCAACTCAGTGATTCTGTTTTTTAATTATATATATTTTTTCTGGCATGTTGGTATTATATCTTTCACTTGGATGTTATAAGTTGCACTGAGTAAATACAGCTGGGTAAAACTGTCCGTCTTCATTTCAGGCTGCAAAGCAACAAAATGTGATTATTTTAAAGGGGGTGATTCTTTTCTATACCCACTGTATACTGTATATCGCAATTCAGGCAAAAAAAACACAAACAAAAAAAAAACCGAGATTTTATTTTTTTTGGCCATATCGTCCAACCCTACTTTGCATATTAAGTGATGGGTGTAGTAATGATCATTGTTGCTAATTAGGGATTTCTTTCTTTCTCAGTTCAGCTGTGGACAGTTGGGAATTATCACTGGTATCTAAAGCAGAGTTCGCATTTTGGCAATGAGGCCCTCAGGGCTCCGGCGTGTGTGTGTTGGGATCCTGAGAAGCCCTTGCGTCTCCATCTCCTGACTCGAGGATGGGCCAGCTACACCTACGACTGGGGCTGGAGCACGCAACGCAGTCATGGCAACGATTGCCATGACAACGCCAGTGTGGCAGTGATTGATGGAGGTAGGCGTGTCCATTGTCAAACTTATGAATAATTGTGCATTAATATGTTGTAGACAACACACTGTTTTCTCACTGTGTTAGCTTTAGAACATTTTTTGAGTAAATAAGGCATTTAAGTACAGTCTAAAAATTAATGATTTGAATAATTTCTGTGTGTTTAACTAATGTGTTTTGCAGATAAAATCCTGGTGACAACATTCCGCCAGTGTGTGATCCCTCCACCTATGTGTGCTTTTGAACTTCAACTTCCTGTTCCTGTCAACTTGGTCACCTTCCATTCTCAAGCCCAGAGGACCAATGAGCTCGCTGCTCTCACAGCCGATGGGCATATTTATGTATACGGTCAAGGTGAGTCATATAATTTGAAACTTGATTCAAACATTATGTTGTTTAGGATTTCTTAGTTGCGTTTCCTCTATTCAGGTGGTGGAGTGGAAAATGGAGGTGTACTCAGGGTACCTGGCTTTAAAGTCATCTCAACACCATTAGTATTAAGAAAGACTTACAGGTACAGATGATTTTGTTTTTCACTGTTGATTGTGCTTTACATTTCTTCATGTTTGTCCAATCTTTGTTTAACAAGAAGGTGTCACTAAAGAATTAACATTTTTATGAATGGTATTGTAGCTGTAAAAGTTTGGGTATGTAATATTTTTAAATGTTTTTGAAAGTCTCTTGTGCTCACCAAAGCCACATTTATTTACATAAAATACAGAAAACATTTATATTGTGAAATATTATTACAATTTTTATTTTTTTCTATTTTTTTTCTTTATCTTTTTCTATTTTAAGTTTTATTTATTCTTATGGCAAAGCTGAATTTTCAGAACCATTACTTCAGTCTTCAGTGTCACAAGATCCTTCAGAAATAATTCTAATTTGCTGATTTCCTGCTCAAGAATAATTTCTTGTTATTATCAATGTTGAAAACAGTTGTGATGCTTAATATTTTTGTGAAAACCAATGATATTTTTTGCAATATTATAAATATCACTGTTGATCAATTGAATGCATTATTTGCTGAATAAAAGTATTTTTCTTTAAACAATATTACTGATCCCAAATGGTAGTGGTATGGTTGGATGGTAGTCTACAAACAATATATTACATTTATTGTGTATTTTAATGCAGCTGTCATTATCTTTTGACAAATTTCAGTGAAATAACCTTTCAAGCAATAATAGTCTAGTCTTATCCACTGTTTTCTCAGAGTTTTATGGATTTTTTTGCTCATTTCTTTTCTGTAATTTTCTCATTCAGGCAAGCATATTTATTCAGATCGGCACTGCTGTGTAATTATTACATGCATCATGTATTCTGATGCAGATGTTCTCTCTGCGTCTGCAGGGTCGCCATTGATCAGGAGGAACCTCTGACGCTGCGCTTGCTGCTGTGGTTGAGTGAGGATTTGTTTTTGGCTGTGGCCCACGGAAGACACTTGACCCGCCTGCTGAAGCTCACCCCATCGGACAGCCAGGACCCCAAGGACACGCTGGAGATCAGGTACTGCCGTTAAAATAACTAACTCCTCCGGTCTTGTCCACATTTGTATTCAGTGTAGCTCACGCAAAGACAGACTGATCTAACGAGCATAGACATGAACTCAGGGGCTGGGAATTGTTAAAACTTTTTAATTTTTAAAACTCTGCACTTTATGCAGTGTCTCTTTTTCTTAAATTTTTTGGTGTTGATCATTTCTCAGGTCAGACGTTCCGGTGGATGGTTTTGCGATCAGCTTGTGTCACGGCCTCAGAAATGGCACTGTGGCTCTGCAACTTGATGACGGACAGATCCGGAAAGTTCAAATGGGTCAGTCAGTCCACTAATTAGTAATTATAACAGGGACTAGATTCGGCTACTACACAGTTTCTGTTTTTATCACTTGTCTTGTTTTTTTTTTTCTAATGCAATTTTAAAATGAATAATTTAAGCAGACATATAAAGACTGCTGTAAATGCTAGAATATTTCATACAGACTCTTCAGAGCTCAGTCTAACAGAATGGAAGGATTCTACTGGCAATACTATTAACTTCCCCCGGCCTTGTGTTCAGACGGCACTAAGTACCCTCAGCGGAGAGGTAAATATATAGTCTCCATCTATCACTGACCTTTATTTCATCATGCTCACTTCAGCTTCAATAAACACTTCTTATGTTTTTGTCTTTTAATAGGAACATTTGATAGGCCTCACAGAGAGATCACACCTCTACATCAGTGACTCACTGGTAGGTAACAAGAATATAAATTATGTTGGGTTAGTGCCAAAAAATCTGGCAGTTATGCTCACCGGAGTCTTTCTTTCACAGGTGGCCTCCAATATCTCCTCGTTTGTAGTTTATGATGACTTCCTTTTGCTCACCACACACTCTCACATGTGCCACTGTCTCAACCTCAGCACACTCTCTATTAAAGGTATGTAAATGCATCAAAGAGATAAATTAAGTAAATATATATAATATAAAAATGATTCACTACCATTCAAAAGTTTGGGGTCAATACAGTTTTTTTTAAAGAAATTAATGTTTTTTTTATCCTTACTTTTATTGAGTAAAGATGCAAAAGAAGTGACAGTAAAGACATTTATAATGTTACAAATAAATGCTGTTTATTCAAACTTTCTATTCGTCAAAGAATCCTGAAAAGTGCTTCAGATGCCACGAGGGAATCTAGAAACCATCCATCATCGAGCTCTTGTACTTGCTCAGCTCAGAAAGGGGCTTGATAGGTATTTTATGTTTAGAAAAACTTAAGACAATGGTACATGTAAAAAAAGAATACTGACCTTTTTTTAAAAGGAAAAAAAAGGATTAAAGCTATTTTTTTTTTTTTCCAAAAACAAAAAAAAACATTTTTTTTATATCACATTGTATGTTAACTTAAAAATGTAAAAACTAATACCTGATAAATTACATGATTTGAATTCATTTGGTTTATGTATTCTGACATCACACGTGAGAAAAACTACACCAGAACTGGAAATCGCTCTTCAGAAGGTCCATGAGTTAAGAGGTGAGTCTCTGTTAGCTCAAGCCCATTAAAAATAAGTTCAATTATGTGTCTGTTACATCTGTTTGCTTTTGTGGTTAGTAAACCCACCCAGCGGCAGCAACGGTGCTAGCGCAGAGGAAGCTCTGAAGTATCTTCTCTTCCTCGTCAATGTGAATGAGCTGTATGAACACTCCCTCGGCACCTACGATTTTGATCTAGTGCTCATGGTGGCTGAAAAATCTCAGAAGGTCAGTAAGAAGATTCCAACTCTGTTGTATCTTAACTGCTAGTTTTTATTTTTATAGTTATATATTATATTATATTATATTATATTAGATTAGATTAGATTAGATATTAATATAGACCAACAAATACAATTAAAAATATTCATAATGAAAAATTCACAATTTCACTTATAAGCAGCCATGTCTTGTATGAAATTTGTATTATTACATTCTTGCAAAACAAATAAATACAATTCAGTAAATACACAATGAATACAATTTATAATTTCACATATAATCAGCCATTTTGCATATGAAATGTATTTAATATTTTATCACATAGTATATTACTTTATAATAATTCTTAAAATATATTAAACAAATTCATAATGAATAAAATTAATCTTTTCACATATGAGCTGCCATTTCCAATTGCATTAGTTATTAGTTATTTGTTTCACTATATTACATTATTTAATATTACAAGAGGAACAAATACAATTAAGTTAATACATAATGTATTCAATTTTTAAGTTCACATATAATCAGCCATTTTGCATATGAAATGTATATTATTGAATTGTATTGTATAATTAATATACAGTAACTAATACAATTCAATAAAAACAATTTTATAATTTCTCATATAAGTAGCCATTGCACATATTTGTTTTATTATAATATATTAAAATATTCTATTATAAAACAAAACAAACAAAAAAAAATTTCATGAATATGTAATAAATAAAATTCTTGTTGACATATAAGCAGCCATTTCACATATTTGTATTACTATAGTATTACTATTATATATTATTTTATATTGCAATTACATTATTTTATAATATAAAATGAATGTACAACACATTGAAAGTAGAAATTGGCCATTAGTTGACTGATGTTGCACTGTAACACAACAACAGGCATTTCACGTGTAGACAGCTTTTCTGATAGTGAGATCTCGTCTTAGCACACGTCTGTTGTAGACACTGTTTTGAAGTGGTTTATAGTTTATTTGTTTTTTTCCTCAAACATGTAGGACCCTAAAGAGTACCTGCCATTTCTGAACATGCTGAAAACCCTGGAGCCGAACTACCAGCGCTACACCATCGATAAACACCTCAAGAGATACAGGAAGGCCTTACATCACCTCAGCAAGTGTGGTAAGAGCCTTGTTGGACATCCATGAGCAACCCAACAGCAAATGCCTCTGTTTTTATTCGCTTCCTTCCACCATCTGTAACTCTGTTTGGTTCTCCTGTTCTGCCTCATGTTTTTCAGGTGAAGAACACTTCACAGAGTTGTTATCCTTGGTGAAGGATCAGAGACTGTACAGTGATGCTCTTGAGCTCTATCCTTCAGACAGTGAGCAATACAAGGCACGTTTTATTTTATAAAGCTCCATGTTTTTATTTTTGTAACATTTTATTTTTCCCTGAATTTTGCAAAAGAAAATATTAGCTATAAAGCCGAAGCAGAACTGTTGTGCGTCTCCGAGCAGCACAGTGTTTCGTTTCTGAATGAATTAGTCGGATGAACCAATGATTCAGTGGCCCATTCATAAAGAAAGCCTTTTACTTCATTCCTGAATGAATCAGCCATTTGAACAATTGATGAATGAATGACTCAATGACTTACTCATCTAGACATTTACCGCCAACTATTGGCAGATTTAGTTTCTAGTTTAGAGTATTTTGTAATGTCTTTTTTTATGATCATTTAAAGGTGCCATAGAATGCATTGATACAATATTTTAAATTGTTCTACATAGAAGGTATGTGGCTTAGGTAAGGGCAAAAAATCTCCAGAAAAGGTTTTATATGTCCATTTACAACCCTAGGATTTGTCCCTAGAATGAAATGGTCTGTTTTTACCTTATTTGGAAGTGTCATGAATAATAATGTTGAGCTCTGCTCTGATTGGCTGTTTCGCAGTGCGGCTCAGTGTTGAGCTCTGCTCTGATTGGCTGTTTCGCAGTGCGGCTCAGTGTTGAGCTCTGCTCTGATTGGCTGTTTCGCAGAACTTCTGATGATTCGGCTGTGCAGGTCCGGCTGGCCTAGAACATGGGCGGGTATATGCAAATGTTGGGGGCGTAACTATTAGTGATCCCGACTGTAATGTCACAGTCGGTGTTGTGTTCTGATTCGCCTATTTTTCAGTGGTCTTTTGAATGCACAAGATTTACATAAGAAGGAGGAAACAATGGTGTTTAAGGCTCACGGTATGTAATTTCCATGTACATAACTGTTATTATTCAACTATGCCAACTTGCCAAGGTAAATACAGTTTTCCATTCTATGGCACCTTTAACACAATAATGACTTAAATCTTTTTGGGGTAATTTCTCAGCCAAATTTGACATGCAAAAATTTGATGTGCAAAAAAATACAGGAATTTCAAACGGTTAAATATTTAGCTTGTGTGGTAATGTATAATTGTATCAGTGATGACATGATCTTGACCCTTGACCTGTGATGTCATCAGACCCTGAGCGTGGCCTATGCAGAGCATCTAGTTGAGCAGCAGCAGGCGGAGCAGGCGGGACTGTTGCTATGGAGATGTGGAGAGAATGCCCGTGCCCTGCAGGCCTTCATCAGCTGTACGAGCTGGAGAAACACCCTCGCTGTGGCAACACACATCCCATTACCACCCGAACAGTTGGCACTGCTCGCCCGAGACCTGGCAGGTAGAGATCTCTGTCATGTATGCATGTTTCCTACTGAGATTATGAATATCCGGAAGCCATGTTGTATGTCTGATGTTTTTAGAGAAACTTCTGGAGGCCAGAAGGCATGCAGAAGCCGCCCTGTGTTTGGAGCAGTATGCTAAGGTACACTGTATATTTCATAGTCATCATTGTTCTGTTCTCCTCTGGTTCAAACAGGACTCGCTAAGACTGATGTCTTCTGTGTCATGTGCTCATACTTGTCTGTTGTCAGGATTGTGAGGAGGCCATCTCTGCTCTGATACAGGGAGCTGCATGGGAAGAAGCACTCAGATTGGTGAGCCTGTTCTTTCATCTCTGTCCTCCTTTACCAGTTATTGCTACCAGGTTTAACGGTTTTATTATTATTATACTGGATTACTTGATTGGAATTGCAGTATTTTTGCTAAACTGTATTAAAATTCTAGTTATCTCAGGCAACTGATTTTCTATGTAACCGTAATTGCAACATGCTGTATATTAACAAATAATAAAATAGTAAATGTGTGTGTGTGTGTGTATATATATATATATATACACTGGTCAACATTTGAAGTGGATCAAAACCTTTCATCAAAGTTGTCCTAAAACCAAAATGTGTTCTTGTCTTAGGACAACTTTGATTAACTTTTTTTTGATCCACTTCAAATGTTGACTACTATATATATGTGACCCTGGACAACAAAATCAGTCATAAGGGTCAATTTTTTTGAAATTGAGATTTGTACATCATCTGAAAGCTGAATAAATAAGCTTTCCGTTGATGTATAGGATAGGACAATATTTGGCCGAGATACAACTATTTGAAAACCTGGAATCTGAGGGTGCAAAAAAATCTAAATATTGAGAAAATTGCCTTTAAAGTTGTCCGAATTAAGTCCTTAGCAATGCATATTACCAATCAAAAATTAGGTTTTAATATATTTACGGTAGGAAACTTACAATATCTTCATGGAATATGATCTTTACTTAATATCCTAATGATTTTTGGCATAAAAGAAAAATCGATAATTTTGACCCATACAATGTATTTTTGGCTATTGCTACAAATATACCCCAGCGACTTAAGACTGCTTTTGTGGTCCAGGGTCACATATATACAAACAACTTGTGCCTGTTTACAACAACAATGTGATTATTGCAAAGGGGGGTGATTCTTGATATAGAAAAGAATCACCCCCCTTTGCAATAATCACATTTAATTGCTTTGCAGCCTGAAATGAAGATGGACACAGTTTTTGTTTAATCCAGCTGTATTTACTCAGTGCAACTTATAACATCCAAGTGAAAGATATAACACCAACGTGTCCGAAAAAATAAATAAAACCAGAATCACCGAGTTGGAAAGTAATTTGTGTCAGTATTTTGTTGAGCCACCTTTTGCTTTAATTACAGTTTTTTGTCTGTTGGGATTTGTCTCCGTCTCTACTAACTTGACACATCTAGACTCTGCAGTATTTGCACACTCTTCTTTGCAGAACTGCTCAAGTTCAATTAAATTTGATGGTGAGCGTTTGTGGACTGCAGTCTTCAAGTCATTCCACAGATTTTCAGTGGGGTTTAAGTCTGGGCTCTGACTAGGCCATGCAAGGACACATTCACCTTTTTCCCTTCAACCACGGTGTGCTCAGTTTTGCTGTGTGCTTTGGGTCATTGCCATGTTGGAAGGTAAACCTTCTTCCCATTGACAACTTTCTGGCAGAGAGCAGCAGATTTTCCTCAAGAATTTTACCGTATTTTGCTCTGTCAATTTTTCCTTATATCCTGGCAAGTGCTCCAGTCAGCTCAGTCGTGACTGCATGTGGCCTTTCTTGAGGAGAGGCTCTTTTCTTGCAACCCTCCCATACAAGCCACATTTGTGGAGAATTTGTGATATTTTTGACACATGCACACAATGACCACTCTTCGACATAAATACCTGCAACTGCTTCAGAGTTGCTGTAGGCCTCTTGATCTTAGTAGCCTCTCTGAGCAGTTTCCTCCTGCTCTTTCATCCAGTTTGGAGCGACATTCTGATCCAGGGAGGGTCTGTGTTGTACCAAATACCTTCCACTTCTCAATAATAGACTTCACTGTGCTTCTACACATTGATAAAGCCTTTGACATTTTTTTGTATATATCTCCTGACTTGTGCCTGTCCACAACTTTATCCC